CCAAAGACAGGGTCATTGGACCACATCCTTATTTGGGGAGCCCGGGGAGCCCCTTGTCTGGTGCTACTGGGCAGACAAGGATGCCTCCCTGGCAGAGGGAACCCATGGCAGGAGGGCAGAGCAATTTCTGTGAGTGGACTTGGCTTCTGAGCTCAGTGACCTTCTGGAAGCTGAGGCTGAGGATGGGAGTGCAATTGTTGCCTAACTCCTCAGCCTTAACCTGTTCACAGTCCACCTGCCCTTGAAGTAGGATCCTAGGCCACAAAGGCCACAAGTGAGAGAGATTCCTGGGACAGTCCATCCTGCCCCTTCCGTCAGGGTCCGGGAACAAGCCTTTGGCCCTCACCCGACCCTGGGAAGATGCTTGACTTTATCTGTTCCTCCCAATAACTCTTCCCTGGTACTTTCCTTCCTTTCTGATTGTTGATTACAATGTCTTGTCTACATTTTTTTAAAGGGAGTTTGGGGAGGAGAAAGAGTGAATTTCCAGGAATTGTTTCACTGCTGCCCCTCCTTTTGCTTGGAGCAAAGCTGTTTGTCCCCCTCCTTCTGTGCAGATTGGCAAGGAGCCTGGCTCCTGTCCCGCCCTCGTTCCCTTCCTCCCAGTCTCTCTCTTTCCAGCTGTCCACCTCCTCCCTCCAAAGAAAAACACCCACATGAAAACTGCAGAGCTACCACTTATTTCTTCCTGAGAGAGCAGATTTCCCTCTGTGCCTCTGCCAGAAGGGATCACCATCACTTCCTCTGGCTGCAAATACACATTGAGTGATGTGAAGGGGTAGGGGGCTGGGAAGAAGGTGGAGATGAGGCTGCAGGGGTAATATCTCCATATGGGACTATGTAACTCTTTCTTTGGCTGTCATCTGTATCCTTTATAATAAACCAGAAAATGTAAGTAAATGTTTCCCTGAGTTTTGTGAGCAGTTTTGTGAGCAGATTAGCGAAACTAAAGGGGAGTTGTGGGAACCCCTAACTTTGTGACCATATTGAATAGAAGTGTGGGGACCCATTGCTTGCGACTGGCATCTAAAGTAAGGACAATCTCTTACAATAGCCAAGAAGACATGGAAATAACCAAAATGCCCATCAATTGGATAAAGAAATTGTGGGACCGACCAAGTGTCTCAGTTGGTTAAGAGCACGAGCTCTGAGCATCAGGGTCGCTGGTTCAATTCCCACATGGGCCAGTGATGCTGCGCCTGAGCTGAGCTGCCAACAGGTGGCAGGGTGACTCAGCTGCTGAGAGCACGTGCTCCTAACAACAAGGTTTCCGGTTTGACTCCCCTATGGGATGGTGGCTACACCCACCCGCAACTAAGATTGAACACAGCACCTTGAGCTGAGCTGCCCTGAGCTGCCGATGGGCAGCCAGATGGAGACTGGACTTGGAGCTGAGCTAGCTGTGCCCTCCACAACTAAGATTGAAGGACAACAACTTGGCTGTTCCCCTCTCCCAATTCCCCAACATTGTTCCCCTTCCCCAATTCCCCAATAAAAAATCTTAAAAAAGAAAGAAATTGTGGTACATATATAAAATGAAATAGTACTCTGCCATAAAAAAGAATGAAATCTTACTATTTGTGACAACATGGATGGACCTAGAGTGTATTATGCTAAGTGAAATAAGTCAGATGAGAAAGACAAATACCATATGATCTCACTTATATGTGGAATCTAAAGAACAAAATAAACAAGCAAACAAAACAGAAACAGACTCGTAGATACAGAGAACAAACTGATGATTACTAGATGGGAGGGGGGTTAAAGGGCTGGGTGAGAAAGGTGAAGGGATTAAGAAGTACAAATTGATAATTACAAAATAATCAAAGTGATGTAAAGTACATTATGGGGAATATAGTCAATAGTATTATTAAAACTATGTATAGTGTCAGATGGTACTACTGGGGGAATCACTTCATAAATTATATAGATGTCTAACCACTACACTATACACCTGAAACTAACATAAAATAATATTGAATGTCAACTATAATTTAAAAAAATAGTCATGGGGATATAAAGTACAGCATAAGGAATACAGGATAAGGAATATTGTAATAACTATGTGCAGTGTCATATAGGCAATAGACTTACTGGGGTGATCACTTTGTGAGGTATACAAATGTCTAATCACTATGTTGTTTTGTACACCTGAAACTAATTTTAAAAAATAATTTTAAGGGAATAAAATGAAGTAAGAACAATCTTGTGGGACTGAGCACTTAAACCTGTGGAACCTGACACTAACTTTAGGTGGTTCATGTCAGAATTGAATTAAATTATAGAGCACCCAGTTGGTGTCCGGAGAGTTGGAAAATTGGTTGATATGGGAGAAAAAACCTACACATTTGGTGTCACAAGTGTTGCGAGTAGAGAAATAGTTTTTTTATAGAGGCTTTAAGAAAAATTAAAAATTAAAAACACCCCTTTCCACAGAGATGATTGGTGGTGATGGTTGCAAAACAATTGTAGATGTACTTAATGTTACTGAACTATATAGTTAAAAATAGTTAAAATGGAAAAGTTTATATTATGTTCATTTTGCCACAAAAAATTAATTAGCAAACTTTTTTTAAAATACCCTCTTTGATGGGCCGACCAAGTGGTGCATTAGTTAAGAGTTGGCTTGGGAGCGCCAGCTCTAAACAGCAGGGCCCCGGTTCGGATTCCACATGAGGGCCAATTATGCTGCGCCCTCTGCAGCTAAGATGGTGAACAACAGCTCGACCTGGAGCTGGGCTGCCGTGAGTTGCCGGCAACAGCGTAGGCTGCAGGGGGACTGCAGTGGGCTGTTGTGAGCTACCATAAGTGGCTGGCAGCCGGCGTGAGCGCCGAGAGCCACCATGAGTGGCAGTCCAATCGCTAGCGACCGATCTGCCTCAGCCGGGAAGAGCGCAATGATCACAATACCAACATGGGCCAATGAGCAACGTCTTCCACAACTAGACTGAAGAACAAAAGGACAGCAACTTGTCTGTTCCCCTCCTCCAATTCCCAATAAAATCTTTTTTTTAAAAAAACAACCCTCGGGCCAGCGAGTGGCGTAATGGTTAAGAACTGGCTTGGGATGCCAGAGGGCCTTGGTTTGGATCCCACATATGAGGGCCAGTGACACTGCCCTCTACAGCTAAGATGCTGAACAACGGCTCAACCTGGAGCTGGGCTGCCGTGAGTCGCCGGCGACGGCGTAGGCTGCAGCCCCTGTGGCAGTGGGTGCCATGGGCTACCGTATGTAGCCAGCAGCCAGCGTGAGCGGCCAGCAGCCAGCGTGAGTGGCCGTCCAGAAGCCGGCGACTGATCTGCCTCGGCCGGGAAGAGCGCAATGATGGTACCAACTTGGGCCAGTGAAGCAACGTCCTCCACAACTAAACTGAAGAACAAAACGACAGCAACTTGTCTGTTCCCTTTCCCCCAATTCCCCAGCACTGTTCCCTTCCCCCCAATACCCCAATAAAAATCTTTAAGAAAAACAAAAAACAACCCTCTTTGAATGGATAAACAAAATGTGGTATATCCATGCAATGAAATATTACTCAACCATAAAAAGGAATGGCATACTGATACATGCTATGGTGTGGATAAACCTCAAAAATATTATGCTAAGTGAAAAAAAAACAGACACAAATGTCACACGTTATATGATTCCATTTATATTAAATATCCATAATAGATAAATCCACAGAGACAGAAAGCAGAATGGTGGCTTCCCAGGACTGGGGTAAAAGGGTAATAGGGAGTGCTTAATGAGTATGGGGTTTTCTTTTGGGGTAGTGAAAATGTTTTGGAACTAGATAGAGGTGGTGGTTGCACAACAATGCGAATATACTATGTCACTGAATTATATGCCACTGAATATAAATGTCACTGAATCATACACTTTGAAGTGGTTAATATTGTTATGAGAATTTTATCTCGATTAAATATATCATATATATATATATATATATATATATATATATATATATATATATATATATATATATATATATACCTAGTCCCCTTCAGCCAACACATTTTGCTCTACATCCTACAAAACATGGGCCCAGCTCCAGCTGGCTCTGCCATCTGCACAGAGCAGATGTGAGACAGGCAACCTCTCTGGGCTTCAAGAGGATAAGGAAGCCCATCTTCCTCTCCACAGGGATACCTCAGGGATCAAAAGATTAATGAGGTGAAAGTGCTCTGAGAAGCAGGAAGCTCTGCTGACACAAGATGTTCACCAACAACCAAAATCCATGCTATGAGCCTTAACTCCCATGGATTGGAGGGAGATAAAAGCCTAGTGACTTTCAATCAGTATCTCTCTCTCTCTCTCTCTCTCTCTC